TTTAAATTTTAGTATTAGGAAATGTCTGATCTTATCTGTTGTGCCTGTGCACTTTATCTGTTTCACCGTGGGTGAATGAGAAACGTCCTCTCGATTCCTTGTATGTCTGGTGCATGTGAAGAATCGACAATAAAGCTGACTTTGACTTTGACTTTGACATTAAACGTTAAATGTTGCACGGTTTCACTTTAAATAATAGAACTGTGAGGGTTAACCTTCACCATTATTCAGTCAGTCACATGTGAGACTGATTTGTACAAATTACCAGTGATGCTTCCCTCCTTTGTCTTTGTTGCTGCTTTATTTTCTTCCCCTTGGAAACTGACATCAACCTCTGACCATCAGTATTGCAATATTAGCATTCATGTCTCAAATCTTCCTCCTGTGTAAAATTAGCCTTGCAGACAGACAGTATTGTTATTGGCTGATGATATTTCAACATGCAACAATTTGTAACAGACCAGTTACTCTTTGCTTCAGAGCTATTACAACAAATTATTTACCAATATTGAAATTTGTTCAGAGGTGAGCAGACAACTGTCAACAGTGTGGAGACTTTCACTGATGAGTTACAGTTTTCAATCTGAAGCAGTCGGACAGTATTTTGATACCGACCAGAGTATCTAATCTCTGGATGTAGCTTCAATTTGATCAGTGCTGTTTCTTCTTTGGGGCTATTACTGTGAAAAATAATGTCCTTGTTGACTACAAATAACAATATCTATATATCTATTTGTATTCCATAGGGTTACTGTCACCTAAATTTGCCAACACAACTTCAGCCGGGCAATAACCTGCTATCTAATCTGCAGTATGTTGACACACATCGAATGTCTGTATCACAGATTCACAACACGTGTGCGTAAGGTCTGAATTTGACTGTACAGTTGGCAAGGTCATGGTTCAACAATTATTAGAGGTTTAATAATGCAGCTGAGAAAGTCCCTTTTAGAGGAGTGTGTTATTATTGGGTGTGTGCAAACAAATAGGTGTATGGTTCACAGATAAACCTGCATTGTAAATGTGTGTTTGAACTACGGGAGGCGGCAGGTGTGTGCGCTCGTACCTTTAATGTGTTTCAGAGTGTGTGAGGGTGGATAACTATGTGCATGCATGGCCATGAGTAAACATTGCAAATATCTATACGTCTCCTATCCAGAGGTTCCTACCAGACACACAGATGCGTATTCAAACTCAGCATCAGTGGTGGTATGTGTATACTGTATAATTATGTATACTGTAGGTTTCATGGTATGTGTGCCCAGCTAAAATGGGAACATATACCTCTCGCCAGAGCAGAACACGCTCTGCAAATAAAGACCTCAGTAAGAGAGTTTGACCCAGGCAGCAAGCAGACAACCTCCGACTAGCCACATGAGTAAAGACTACCACACAGGACGGATCTTGTGTGTATGCTCCTATTGAGCAGCAAGGCTATATGCGTGCCCGTATTAAAAGATGGCCGCTTTGAAGAGTCTACATCGATGGTCAGTACAGAGGAAGGTGGTCACTTTGAGTTGGCAAACTAACTAAATAAATAAGTTAATACATTAATACATTTGACAAGAATATTATCAGCTGATTTAAGAAAGAGAACAAGATTGAGAGGAAAAACTGCAAAATATATATATTTGGATATGAAGAATGATCTCAATCAACAAATATTGATGCACAGGACCATAATCAAAATTTTAATAATACCGAGGTAATCATTTCTATTTATTTATTTAATTAACCATTGACTTATGATTTCTACAGGTCTTCTTTCATAACATGCTGTTTCAACTTTACTGCCATTAATGAAATTCTGGATGCTGAATCCATTTTTCCTTTTGTGGTCTAAAAGTAGTCATATTTAAATGAGCCTAAGACACACAATACACCCACAACTTGTAAACTTACAAGGACATGACCTCAACTTCTGCCCAGACATTATAGGCACACTGCAGCAGTGTGTTTGTTCGTAGATATGCATCATGTGACAGTTTCATTGGAGGCTAGTTTTTATTTTACAACGTAGATGTTGATAAAACTCAATATGTTTTTACACAGAAGTTCTCCTGAATGTATTCAGTGAGGGTTGGAGGTCTTATCTCTTCATAGTGGCAGCTGTAGCCTGATGATATAGGATATAAGAGCCTGAATGACCCGCCTTCAGAGGGGCGGGGTCAAACATGGGGTGAATGGCACGTTTGAAAAGGGGGCGGGGAGCTCTAAAAATTACTACATCCACCCTTTCTGCCACGGCATCTTCTCAGTGTTCAAACAGATTGTAGACCTCGACGATACGAATTGGACGCGTTTTCTTTTCAAACCTTATCGGAAGATTGATATTTTTTTCTACATTTGTTCTATCAAGTCCAACCAAGAGAACAGCTGTTCTGCTATGGCAAAAGGAGAGGGAGGTGAACAATACTCCAACGCCAGTTTATTGAATAAACCGGTCAGCTCGGATGGAATCACGCTCGCCAGGAAGGTGAGTTCATCCATTGATTCAAAATGATGGTTTGGTTTCTTCTGAATCACGTCTCACACAAGACGAGGGGGGAAAAAAGCCTTGTTTCGACAGGAGTTTGTGTTGAAACACTTGAATAAACGGAGCACACCGGTACATTTACATTTTCACACAGTGAGTAATGAACGGTGGCTGGGCGCGCGCCACTCATTGTGATAATTCATCACCAGAGTTAATCGATATTTCCTTCATTAGTGACTCAGGAATTATTAGAGGAATCAAATAATTTATTAAAACATTTTTTTTTTTTACATTTTACATTTTTTGATTAAATTCAGTCGATAAATGAGCTCTCCTCCAGCCCTTCCTCCCCCTCTCATCCTCTGCGTCTATCAACAGATGTAACATCATATCGATTAAAAAAGATAAAACGAGGCTCCGGACGGTGTTAGACGCAGTTAAATATAGTAGGTTTAAGTCATAATTTTTGTGTGTAGAGTGTAATGATTGTGGTTGTCTGTGTACTCATTACCCCAGCCACATAGAGCTAAATTTAAATCCCGAAAATGCAAACGTTGGCTACTCTTTCTTTCTTAACGACAGCTTTTAGCTAAATCTCACGTTCCTTTTATATTGTTAGCTGTACGTTAGCTCGTCAAATTAGCCTTATGCGCATATATAAATTTCTAATTTGCATAACGGTCTTTCTAATTAATTTAAATTAAATAAATGAAAACTGCAGCCACACTGGAGATGAGTCTCTCAGAAACCTCAGGGTGTAATGTCGACTTAAAAACATGAGCTATCTGCATGCTTCATATCACTTTATTTGGGATTCAGTCGCCAAATAGATGTGCTTTAGTGCTGCGTTCAGGGACTCCCTGAAAGCCCCCTCACGTCTCAGAAAAGGTTCTCCATTTCTAGCACTTATTGACACATGTACGTCGAAATTATTACAAAACAATACGCTGGGGTGTGTGTTCTTGTTTCAGAAATATTGTGGCACAATGCTTTGAATTGTAGTAGCAAAATGGGGAGGAGAACATTTGCATCAGCATGTTAGTTCACCGGCACAGTAGTTGATGGTTATGAAACAGGAAACATAACATAACCCTTCCGATGTATTTCATGCGATTTTTCTGCCCAAAAGTCTTCTCGGTTGTTGAACAAAATCCTCACTTAATTTAGTATTTCTAGTACGTTTTGGGGCGGGGGTAATTCCTAAATTTCCTACAGCTTTGAATACAGCAGGAAGCACTCACCAAGGCGACGTGTCAGACACAGGGAGCATGGGAGACTATTAATTCATAAAAGCTTTTCCCATTTCTGTCTCCAACTGCAACATTAATCACACATCCTTATGCTATCTTTCGAGTGTTTGAAAGCCTCACCTGTTTTTAGGATGTGAATTTGACCTGAGCACGTTCTCAGTCTACAGTGGTAGCATATCATTATCATTGCTGGTGATAACAGTAGCCTTGAGACAGTAATTGGTGGCTAGTTTTACAGTCTGTGTGAACCCTTACATCAACAGACACTCTCTACTCTGCTACTGTAACTGATGGGACTTGGATGCAAATGCAAAGAGGAGTTGTTTAAGCGTTTAATTAAGTAATTTTAATTACTTAAAAGCAGTGTGGAAAGAGTCAGTGACACTAATACAGTCATACTACCACCTGTGATAGTTCCGTGACACAGTAGGTATGCAATGTCATTTTAAAAGAAGTCATTTTAGCTTTTCGTGCACACAGGTAGAACTGGTTTAGGGTGAAACCACATATAGTGAACATGGATTTAGACTCTAGACAACTCTTTCGTAACCACTCTGCATTGCTAAGTTACACTGGTTTAAGAAGTAATGTGCATCACATGGTGGGGGTCAAGTTTGATCCTTGAGACCCCTCATTCACTACCATGGAGACATGACCTAAATCTCCAGGTAGTCCCAACTGTTGTAAAGCCAGCCATTGTGTTCAGTCTGAATAATTGCTTCTGTGTTTTTGATGGTGCCGGTTTCTCATTTCATCCAGAGACAGTTTTGTCATCTAAACAAAGGCTGGGTTGGGTGTATCAACAAGACAAGGGTTGGTTCCCTCAGTTCCGCTCACAGTGATGTTTTGTGTTGTGTGATTTGGAGCTGGGGAGGGGCGGGGGGCAGTGTCCGTTTTCTTCTCATGCGTATCGGTGACACACACTTGAGGAACTCTGAAATGTGCCTGCAGCTCAAGGTCATTTTATATGAGCGGATGATGCTATCTTTTAGATTTCCTCTCAGGCTATAACAGTACACCTTACCTCATTCAACACCAGTGATGCCATTTTTTTTGACCAGCTGAAAAGAGGGCAGATTAGGCAGCACCAAATCCGACCTCTTGATTGGCCAGGGAGGAGGGTGTGCTGCGGGGGCCGGAGGGATCAGAGCATTGGTCAAACTGGCAGGCCAGTGCAGACTGCTGCCAGGGTGCTGTCACCCTGGCTTTCGGTGTGTGTGTGACACCATGGTGTTGTCATGCCCTGGCACTGATCTGCAGAGATTTGTGTTGCTATTAGAGGAGTTGTTTAGTGTCTGACTGTTGAGGAAATTATTACATCTACAGTGGAGAACATGGAGAAGAATGAGCGCTTGTTAGAAAACCAAGGGTTTCTTGTTTCCCAGTGGCTGTCCCTGACTTCTGCCAAATACGCTACATGGTGGTTAGCTTTTTGCCAGCTGAACTTTCTGCTCTTAAGACTCTGTGGCGATTAAGAATTTAGGCCACATTCCTTACGAGTCACTGAAAAACGGGTTTTTGTCTTAATCGGACTAGTGAGAAATAGGCTGAAACTTGGAGAAACGATAGGTTGAAGATTAAATTGTTCTGACAGAAATTGAGCCTGGGGGATGGAACTGTACGCTGCTGTATTGCAGTCACCCTGTTACTGACCCCTCCTGTGACTGCAAGGGCTCAAAGGTTTGCAGACAGCTGCAAATACTTTAGCACACTTCCAAAAGTAGTTATTATTGTCTACTTTTTACTTGTGTAAAATGTCCTAATCATGGTTGCACTTTTAGGGTTAATGTAGTTAATAATTTTATTTTGATTAAGTGTTTTTTTTTCTCTTCTCTTTCCTTGTTTTTTTTCCCCAGCAGGAAAGGAACAGGTTGTCAGTCTGCAACAAGTTATGCTATGCCATCGGCGGAGCACCCTACCAGATCACAGGATGCGCCCTGGGTTTTTTTCTGCAGATCTATCTACTGGACGTAGCTCAGGTGAGTTGGTTGAGATTATTTCGAAACCCCACGGTCACACCTGTCCATACATTTAGTCACTTTCATAAGACAGAGCTAAGTTTAGCCACCTTGCTGCCCTTAAAGGACCACCTTACTGGGAATGGGAACATTCTGTCCACCCACACCTGTCCACCCTGTGTCCTGCCACAGTATCTGTGGTGGCCTTTACAGTCTTGAGAACCAGGAGTTGTACATGATCATCCTGTGCCCTTGAATCACCTCTCTCATAAGTGCACACACAGGACATTGTAATCACCATAGCTCACCAACAAAGGGGGCGATTATTCCAAGAAAATGAAGAGGCGTAAAAAGTTCCTTTTTCGTTTCCCTTATTGACTCCATGATGGGGCTGCACTGTATCAAAAGGCTTACACGGACTTGTTCAGAAAAATGTTTGGGAGGGGGGGCGATGGTAGCAGGGGTGAGGAGGGGCTCGCTTTAATGGGCTTTGACAGTAATCTGATGGTTAAGGCCAAAATAGCGTGTAAGTCAACCGCTTCCCCGGGGTTTAGCTTTGTCCGGCTACCAAGATTGTTGATTATGAGTCTATTGGCTGACACAGCGTGGCGCAGATTGTACAGTCAGGAGGGGAACATTCACCCTTTCTGGCTTTCAGTCAGTCTCGTCTCCTCTGCACAGTGCTGGATGAAGAGCAGACCCGCTGAGCTGCCAAGTGGCACCTTCACTGTTTGACTTGACTCTTGCTAAGTGTTGCCTTTTGACTATTGACTTAAAACAAGCGGATAACTTAACACTACTCACCATAATGTCAAGTTTCATTTTAAATCTACACGGCTGACTGCCTCATCAAGCAGCTTACCGGTTTAACAATAGAATCATAAGCTATGTATATACAGTAGTTGCAGTCATACATACATGTACAATGCCCATAGTATTGTTTTTACGGTAGTAAAGGGATTGAATGTGGATTAAGAAATGACCCGCTGTATTGAGAATTGCGTCTTTTACTGCCACGGTTTTTCACTAATCTTTGTGTCTTCTCCTTTTGGCAGCTCGATCCCTTCTATGCCTCCATCATCCTGTTTGTGGGCCGAGCATGGGATGCCGTAACGGACCCCACAGTGGGCTTCTTGGTCTCTCGAAGCCCATGGACGCGGTTCGGACGCATGCTACCCTGGTAGGTCCAAATCCCAGCCGGAACCGGCGAGTTACAGTCTGATATTGTTGGTCTACATTTTTGAGCTTTTTAGTGGTTATTTTCTCCGGAGCACCCTTCTCCTCCATCTGTAACGTTCGTGACTCCAGACCGTTTCCATTAGCTTGTTGATAAAGCCCAGTTATGTCGTTGAAGCTCTTATCACATATTTGCTGTTGGAAATGCTTAATGGGTGGGCTGCTGTCAGCCTCTGTGAGTCAGCACTGCGAGTGTCTGTTTACCAGCCATACACTGTACATGTGTGTTTTAGGGCGGGGCTTTGTGCAGGAACTACATTTGAATTTCCCTGAATGGGGTAACTACGAGTTATAGGGCTGCATGATATGGTAAAAACATCATATTCCGATTATTTTGACAGATCGTGTGACCAGTTGTCCATTCAAGATCCCTTCCCCCTTTTTCTCTCACTCACTCACTCACACTGCTGAAAAATCTACTGAAAAATGCCTTTAGAAAACAAATCTATGGAGCTCCTGCAGGCAGTAGTCTTGCACATTTCCTTTGGCATGGCATTGACGGATATAACTCCTGCCTGCTACCGACCCTGCTTCTTTGAGCAAGCACACAAACCACTTTTCAGAAGGAATTCCCCCAGAGGATTCAGGATAATTGAATCTCTGTATGTTTGAATAGAGAGCTCAGTTTCAGCTGTTTGACATTATTATAATAATAATCCCATTTGTAAGCTGACATTGAGATATTTTTCGAATTGAACATTATTATTTACATTATTATTAGTTTGGTTTTGGTCTGACCACTGCACTTTGTGACATCTCCTCATTAAGAGCAGCAGCCTGAAGCAAAAATGATGTTAAAATGTTGCTTTGCATCTTTGTCTGCGTGTGGCAGCCAGGCTGAGGGAGTGGAAGGACTGTGACGCTGCAGGCCCTTTTCACAGAAGGGTTACTGACCCTTTTCTTTTGATTCGGCCCCTCCCCCACCACATCTCTGCATCTCAAGCTCTGAGCAACCTACACGGCTTCATCTCATATCGAGATATTTGTCGGTTCATGAATGTCGCATTCATAAACAGACCATGGCAGTTGCAGACCCCTTCTGCAACTGTCAACTGTGGGTTTAATTCACACCGTTATGTCAGAGACGGAGGGTGTTAGGTGTCAGTGTGAGCTGCTGGTTACAGAAGGGGTCTCCTGTCAACGTAGAAGATATTTTAGAGCCCCTGTCACTTCAGTAGTCGGGAACATGCAGTACCTCCATAGAGCGATCAGGCAAACAGGTGACAGAGCGGCAGAATGACACCCTGATAAGAAGAGGTAAATGTCTCAGAGGGTTGAGGCAGCTTTTGTAATGAGCACCACAGGGAGATGCAGCTTATTGACTCCCTTGCCTGCTTGATTAAAAATTTAATTGCCCTAGTTGCTTATGAAATGTGCGTACCCTGTGAAAGAAGGGGCACAACTGGGAGATGTCGTAAGGTCTCATGTGGTCCCCGTCTCAGTTTCCTGTGTTAATGTTCCCTTCAGATGGGACCTGCATAATTAATTTAGAATTAGGAAAAGGAACAGCCTTCCTGTTGAGCTGTTGGTTAGCACTTCCAGAGAATCCTTACAAAGGAAATAATTAAATGTAAGCGTCATGGAACATCACTTTAATTGACGCCACGTCACACGCTCTTGCAAACACCAAACCAATCAGAGAGCGTTGTTGTCAAATTGCTGACTTTCTTGCTAGATTTACGGACTTTTTAGAAACTCTTAGTGACTAGCAACAAAATAAGCAACTTATTCAGACCATAAGGAAAAAGGAGAGACAATACATGGCTCTTCTGCCACCAGCACCGGGGTCCCTCCCTCTCCTCTTGCATCATGTGCAGGCGGTCAGTGGGTGTGGCATGCGAGGCACCTTTGACCTCCGGGTCTCTGGATTAGGGTGTTAGCCCATATGTAAATAGTTTGAGCTTCTAAATATTGAAATAGTTTGTTTGATCTTCTCCCTCCCTTGTGGATTTTTTACATTTTCACTTCAAATATATAATGTCACTGTAGTGCGTTTGTGATTATTTAGCTGAACAATAATAATGTTCAAAGTGTGTATGTAAATTTCCATCGGCAGGAAGGACATATGGGTTTGCAGTGCAGTTTGCGGTGATGCATTTATTGATCAAACAGGAATAAACAAGAAACAGTAACTCAACCAATGAATAAAAGAATGAAGAAAACAATGAAAAATATATAGTGGTAATAATTTGTTCTGAAAGTAAAGATGATTTTTAAACAAATGCTCACCCATCAGAAAATATGAAATACTAGTTGCAACATGAGGCAATTTTTACCAACAATTATTCCAGAGTAGCCACTTTGAACATTATTTTTAGATTTTCTACATGTTAGCAATGTCATAGATATCCAGCTTGAATCAATTTTTAATAAAAAAAAATTGCATACATATTTATTTTTTTTTGCATGTATACTGCATACAATGTGAGACTATTATATCATTATTGTATTGTTCAACCATCATCAAGATGCTGATGTTTGAATCTCAAAAAGTGGGTCATGCGTGGCGCTGCTTGTGCACAGAGAGATGTATCTCGTCCGTTTGTCAGAGGTAGGGCGTGGATGGCATGATTGTTGGAGGAAGAAAGGACGGAGGAATGATTGGCATGATGAGTCACATTACGGCCAGTTCAGTGACGAACCGAGTAAAACAAGAGCGGAGTGCCGGAGAGCGGGGAGGAAACGGCAGAGAGGCAGCTCCATCTTACAAACTGTGTTTGGGAAGTGGGGGAGGGGAGAGTGTGTCAGGGTAGCTTCTCATTGGGCCAGCCCACAACACACCACATACATGAGCCAATGGCACATCAGCTCTCAGCTGTAAAGGCCCCGTAGAATTTTTAAAGACTGACTGAGGAATCTGGGAGGTTACTACAGTTCAAGTTGTGGCACGGGGGTAGAATGAGTTGTACTGTTGCTGCAGGGATACAGGAGTGGTCACAAGTGACAGACTACAGGTTTCCTACTATTCCTTAAACATGCATTTATATTACTTTCTTTGGACACTGACAGTTACGTTTGTATTACTACTGCGACACATACTGACTGCCTGTCTAGCTTAATACGACTTTCAAACTGAGTCTGTGCTAAAGATTAAGATGATATCAATATGATATCAACCGCTCAAAACCAGAATCTTGGCTTGGTTTTCAAGTCTTAATTACAGCTGTTTACCCACCCAGCCCCAATGAATAAAAAAATCACATATTGCTGTCATATTGTCACAAACTGCCTATAAAACTGGTTCTCACAGTTGATGCAGCAGGTTGAAAGCTGTCACCTGCCAAATGAACTTGCTGAGATAAAATCACCTCCCTAGTCAGCATTTCTATTTCAGAGCACATTTAAATGTGGTTCCAGGAGGGGCATCTGGCCAGTACTTACATGGCCTTCTGTGTCTCTGCAGTTCTGCAAGCACAGTGCAATAGTTGGCGTAGACTTGCAACCTGTTTTTAAAGCAGAAGTTTTCCCTGACTGATGGAAGTCAAATTAAGTAGCGTGCTCAGTTTGGTAGGTGTCTCATTTGGCACAGAGGAAATAGGCTTGCATTGCAAATGCATTCCTGTGTGTAATCATATCTCTTGATAAAACACCTGCTTTAACTTGCACACCACTCCTGCACTCCCACACTGACTCTGTGTGCGGTCACACAGAGTCATGCAGGGGAGGGAGAATACCGAATGCCACTCCTCCTTTTCACCTCACATTTTCTCTCTGTAAAGCATGTACTGTTTATCTGGCTGTAAATGAGCTTAAGTTAATCGGTGGTGAGTCTGTAGTGAAGCTCTTAAGTTGCCGATCACTTTGATTTGATAATGGTCACATGCCAAGAAGAGAAGTTGCGCCATTCATGACCACCGCATGCTGTTGCTTGTGGTCTGTTGCGTTTATGACGCCATATCCTGTAAAGATGAATCACCTGATGTAAATGTAATTAACTGTTCCCGTAGAGAATAGACGGACAAGCAGGATGCCCGGGCTGCTTCCTGTTCCAGAGAGATGTGGTTGTTCTCTCAAACTCATATCTGATTGGACAGAGTCTATCAGGTCATAGGAAGAAGGAAGTGATGAGTGGAATTCGGTGGCAGCATTTTTTCCTTTTTGTCCTGCTAAAATGACCTCATGTTACAGGATGATTTAGACCTAGGAGAAGGAGGAGGAGTACAGATGTATTTACAAAACTAAAATGACACGTTCTTATTCATCTTTTCTGAAACTCACACACACGTTTACCTCATTGAGGCATTTTTATTTGACAGAAGGTGTTAAATGAGTCATTTGTACAGGAAAAGACATGTTTGGCAAGATTCACCAGTTTTATCCTCACATAACCACCAGCCATACTTGAAGGCCAACCTGTTTCATGCATTGTGAACACGAGGAACACTGTGTCTCTATTAATGATAATCAGTGTGGAGAAAAGTTGGCACAAGTTGAATGCAAACCACACTCAAATGGCCAAAATGTGTTATGTAATGAGTGGCCCCTCACTTCATTAAGACTGGTAGTTGTTTACTGTTTTTCACGCTCGAGTAGGATCACGTTTTCATCCACTGATGTTGTTGTTTTTTGTCTTTTCTCGTCCCTCTCCCCCCCCTCCGCTCCTTTGTCCATCTGAAGGATCCTAATCTCGACCCCTCTGGCTGTGCTTGCCTATTTCCTCATATGGTACGTTCCTCCCTTTGAGGACGGCAAAGTCCTCTGGTACCTTTTCTTCTACTGCATCTTCCAGACCCTTCAGACTGTGAGTACCACGATACTACACACACACACACACACACACACACCCTCCATGTGACTACTCTGACGATTCGTGTGTAATACAGTTCATGGAAATGTTTAGTTTTCCAATTAGATTTTTTTACCAGGGTGTTTATTTCCACACCCTAATTGTGATTCATGTTTTGTTTTCAAATCCTTCAATAGCACAATAATCTAAAATAATTCACTCAAAGGGATAGCTGGCAAAATGCCTATTTGTTTTCTCACAAAGAATAAAATCATATTGATCAAAGAAGATTGATATCAGTCTCTGCGAGTTGTAACTTGCTTGACAAAATTTAAGAGCTGTATTCATTCTCACCAATGCTGCTCTTTTTCTTTGCAAATCAGTGCTTCCATGTGCCGTACTCTGCCCTCACCATGTTCATCAGCTCAGAGCAGAAAGAAAGAGACTCAGCCACTGCATACAGTGAGTATCATAGTTAGCATGTACAGTTAATATTTTGAAAATGAATCTCCTGACAGAAAACAAGTCCAGTGTGTCTCCTCCTCAATGACTAAACGCCTCTTGTGTTTGCCTCCAACCAGGGATGACGGTGGAGGTTCTGGGCACCGTTGTCGGTACAGCTATCCAGGGACAGATCGTGGGTATGGCAAACGCTCCCTGTCTCCCAGGACCCGGTGACCTTGTGGCAGACCTGAGCAACTCCTCAAACTCTGTCGGACTCAATACTTCCGAGCCAGTCATTTCCCTGGAGCACACGGTAAACAAAGGATTAATAAGGAATAATAACTTTACTGGTCAAAGGGCTAGAACTGATGAGTGAGTGCTTAAATAGAATCTGTGAAACAGTGCTAACTGTCATTTTCCTCTTTTGATCTTCCTTACAGAAAGTGGCCTACATGATTGCTTCTGGTGTCATCTGCTTAATCTATTTCCTCTGCGCAATTGTGGTTTTCTTCGGTGTGAGAGAACAGAAAGGTAAGGCATCAGTCTCTCAATGAAACAGCTTCTGTTCTTCACTTTAGAAACCATTATCCAATCTGTAAATTGCCTCAATTTGACTTTCATTCAAAGCCAAAATAAAGGGGAAAACTAAGTAGGTGAATCAGAGATTCATCTTTTGCTTTTCACATTGTTGATTCTTGACTTTGAAATTGCATTATATAGGACAATCAACTTTTTGCTGTAAACTTTTAACCATTAAATCAAACCTTTTGTGTGTGAATCTTTCGTTAATCAAGCTTAGGTTTGTTCAATTCTGTTACTATTAAAAACCCTGAAAGGTTGCTCTAGTTTAACATCCTGATTGGACTCGCATAATGTGACACATGCACAGTTAAAGCTGTATGCTGTAGTATGACTGTGGGCTGTGAGAGCACGCAGGCTTTGGGTTAAATGAGAAACCTTGTGACCAGCAACAGGACTAATAGAAATTCAGTAAAGGAAGAGGCTGAAAGGCAGCTCATGTAAAATAAAAAAAATAAAAAAACATGGCAGTAGGAAGAGTTGAATAATGTATTCAAGTGGATGTCATTTTTTAACATCTTTGTTCATTCTTTCCTACTGTTCCTCTTTTCAGAGTCTTGTCGCCCCAGGTCAGAGCCCATGGGTTTCTTCCAGGGGATTAAGCTGGTGATGGGGCATGGACCGTACGCCAAACTGGTCATGGTCTTCCTCTTTACCTCGCTGGCTTTCATGGTGTGTATAGAGACACACACACACACACATATTTTTACCATGGGCTTGATTAGTGTACCTACAGTATGTCAGTCTCACCTAGCTCTCTGTGTCTACCCACTGTTTGTGTTTCAGTGACTGATTTCAGCCAGCTCGTCTCATGTTAAATGTTGGGAGTCTCACCCGGGTTTGAGCTCCCAGCCTGAGTGTACTTGGCGCCCGCAGCGTTGGCCCTGAGGCGTGTGTATTTGTGTGTTTTAGGCAGTAAATTTGACTGCGCGAGTCTCTCTGCTTTCGTCCCGCAGCTCCTGGAGGGAAACTTTGCCCTTTTCTGCAGCTCCACACTGGGCTTCAGAAACGACTTCCAGAATATCCTGCTGGTCATCATGGTGAGTACACATTTTCAGACATATAGGTGCACTGTTCCCATAGCAATGACTGCATTTCCCTCTGCGTACGAAAACCTTGAGCAGCCCGTTTGTGTGGAATAAGTTAAGCCTTTAGCTCCAGAGTGCAGACAAAAGCTTCCCTCCCAGGGCGGACACATAAATTGTCTTCAGTTACAAGGCTGCTCTGTTCTTGGTTAGAAAGCAGTGTCTCCTGGCCGCACATTTCCATGATGCGTGTCCACTCTGCCTGAATGCCATCCCATTCCCACAGACAGGGAAGGAGCCACCTTTTCATTATTCTTTCGTTTATCTCTCTTGAGCCCTCTTGGAAAATAGAGTTCCTCGTATCAATGAATCACCTCAAACCTGACTGGTATTAAACCCAATTAATCCATAGATGTGCCTTGTGTAGCACGCACAGCAGAACTGTACGGGGTGAGAAAGTACAGGTTAGTGAGGTTGAAAAGATTACATGCTTTGATCCTTTACTTTATGGAAAGGATTATGGAGCCAAGGCAGTAACCTCTTTGTTAAAGTGGTGGTATATGGTGAAATTACCTTTTTTTTTTTTTTTTTTTAGAGGCTTCAAAAGTGTGAGCTGTCACAGGAACTGCTCCTTATGAAGTTACCCATAATCGGCACTAATCCTCACCTTAAGTAATTTGATGAAATGTCCGACTAATCCTGGAAGCTCAGATCTTATTAGAACAGAGATAAGTTAAACAAGTCAGGCTACCAGGCATTATATAAGGAGGCATATATAACTCAGACTGGTTGTCTGTTAATGGATTGAAACGGTCAAAATCAAATGTAATGAAACGCTGTGTGAGTGTTTAAATGATTGCAACAAACAAAAGAGACTTCTTTTTGCATCCTTTTTTGCTAATGTGAGGCACGTTGCAGTAGGTAGGTGCTGTATGGGACGTTGTTCTCTCACTTTACACCGCAAATTAACTCAATTTCAAGGGCTGGATGGTGTTTCTGTCAGAGGAGTAGCCATGTGGTGCTACTCCGTTTCATTTGGCAGGAAAACACTGAGGTCAGCTGTGTAGAATGTGCTTTATGGCGTCTGTTTAAAGATAAAGCCATATTAATTGATAATTATGTTTCATTTCTGTGGATTGTGCCTATAAGGCTCATAGGGCAGAGGTTGGAAGCTGTGCAAGCAGTGGCAGAGACTGCTGATGTGGCACAAAATGAAAGTAATGCAAATCAAATAATCTTATTTACTCAGTGTGAAACCACATTAAACAGAGTGTGAAGCCCCAGAACAATTCATCATACGACAACATGACAGAACAGGATGTGTGGGTGGTTTCAACCATATCATGAGAAAAGGTGGGAAAATACTGTTGCACCATTGCTTTGTGTTATCTTTACCTTAGTCAAACACGCAGGGGTCAGAGGCCTAACTGATCCGAGCGAGCCCTCCGCCCCCCTGCAGAGTCATAGGATGACCCCTGTGGAAGTCTGCATCACATTTGAGCTCAAATTTGTTTTGGGAAGATCCCTAGAAACCATATTGTCTTCCATAGTCGCTGTGGTGTTTGGCAGATACGAGAGGTCAAATGCGTGTCCTTCAGCATCAGCACACGCGTGTTGTCACACCCGAATAGAGGTTGAAACATTTCGAGAATGTTGTGGATCTTTCCTGTTATGTAGCATTAGAGGGTCCTTCTGCAAAATCAGGATAACCTGTAAAAAAGGGGCCTTCTGTGGAATTTACGGGAACTTTTGTGAGTTTTGTCAGTGTTTGTGTATGTCAAAACGAAACCAGACAGCTGGTTAACCAGACTTTGAATGTTTTTCCTCCTCAGCTCTCTGCTACTCTGGCTATCCCCTTCTGGCAGTGGTTCCTGACTCGCTTTGGGAAAAAGACTGCAGTTTACGTTGGCACCTTGGTAAGGCCCAGAATTACATCCAAACACCACTTCTAAGTCTTAAGAAGCCTGTAAGACTGACAGGCATTGGTATGAGTTGTAGGAAAACTGCTCTAGTGTCATTAGGAGACTTGTTTAGGTAAAGTAAATGTGTGAATGACAGCTAATCTAGTGTGCTTTAGTGGTCTAATGTGCTTCTGTTCCTTCCAGTCTGTGGTTCCATTCATGATCCTGGTGGTGTGTTTTAAGAGTAACCTGATTGTCACCTACATTGTATCCTTCGCTGCCGGAGTCGGACTGGCTACAGCCTTCCTTCTGCCCTGGTAAGACCCCTGCTGACTCCTCTTTTTTTTTTTCTTTTCTTATCAGGCATACACACATACGTAACCAATCATGACTCTAACTTTTTGTGTTTTTCAGGTCTATGCTGCCCGACGTTGTTGACGATTTCCAAGTACAGAACCCGGACTCCACCGGCCACGAAGCTCTCTTCTATTCCTTCTACGTCTTCTTCACCAAGTTTGCCTCTGGCGTCTCCCTTGGCATTTCCACTCTCAGTTTAGAGTGAGTATTCACTTAATCAAACACACACACACACACACACACACACACATAACCTACATTGTAAGTCATTCAAACCGTTTTGGTGGTGTTTCATTCAGCTTCTGTCCAATGCGCAGTGACACAATAGAAGTCTAAATGAGGCTAAGCCAAATCTCCCAGTCGACAAATCCCACATCAAAGCACGGAATTCCTTTTGCTTTCATTAGATTAAGTACAGTAAGGCTGTAGTGTAGCCTCACATGACTGACTTTACAGAGTGTTGGCCTTTTGATCAGCGATTTGGTGCCTTCACATCAAGATCTTGGTTAGTTTCCATAGTTGGTGTGTGATGTGTACATATAAAACCAATGCTCTGCAATCAGTAAAGATGAGAAGTACTCCTGTTTTCAGTTTTAAAATGTATGTTTCTTTATTTTCAGTTTTGCAGGTTACATCAGTAGAGGCTGCACTCAACCCGAAGCAGTGGGTTTAACCTTAAAACTGCTGGTTTCCGCCGCCCCCGTAGCTCTGATCATAATTGGCCTGACAATACTGTACTCGTATCCAATCGACGAGGAGAGGAGGCAAGGCAACCGCAAACTGCTTCAGGAACTGAGGTAAGGCGTGTGGATTGAAATGTTTTACTCTTTGGTTTGCGTGTCAGTGAAGCAAAACTCCAACTGAAGACACTTTATTTTCTCTCGCAGGGACAACGAGGCAGATTCAGAAACTGACTCGACAGAACTGGCCAACATTGTCTAGCACATTTTTAGAGACCCACCGACCAATCGGTTGATCCACTGGTATTTTGCACTGGGCGGGACCAACGGACGTGGGCCTGTCGGATCATACAGACACTGCCTTGTCCAATCACACTGCTGCTGTTCCACGTCTACGAAACTTGACGACAAAACACTCTCCCGGCATGAAATCTTTTTCATCATCTCCTCTTTTGTTCAGTCAGATCTCAAAAGCCTTACTTTTTGTATAACATACAACTAATTTTGAGTACTGTGCAGAAAGAAGAAAAAAAAACAAAAAAAAAGACGGTTTCAGTTGAAATTGCACAACACCATGAAATTTGGTGGGAGCATGTTTTGTCAGTGCTGCCATTATTGGTGCTACTCCCTGGAGCTGACCAGTTTTCATCCTTGTACATGACACATCAAACATTAATGACCTTGAGCACTGCGCCAAAAACAACTCTGTAGTTCTGAGATGTGAACATTGTGAGAAACTTGAACAAACAGCCTTAATTTCAGCCCTGTTTTGGGTTTAAAATGTCAAAACTGACAAACTGACACTTGTGTCAGTCACCTGCTCTTGTGTCATTGACTTGGTGTGTTTTTTTTGTTTTGTTTTTGAACATGTTTAAATTGTTGTTTGTAATTTTTACAAATAATCCTCATAGTTTACTTAAGCCAGTCAGCCAGTTTGTTTGAGTGAGTTTCCATCTCATTCCCACCCCACTTCTTTTTTTATTTTAAATAAGCCGTAATAATGTGATATTGGAACTGGTGTACAGTGACAGCTGTGCTCTGAAGGGCTCCTTTTAGTTCTCCACCATAGTACTGAAACCACTACAGTAGTAAAAGCAGTTAGTTTGCACACATAACTGCAATGTTTATTCCATCAAGTGCATTACTCTCATTATGTTATTTATAGGACACCTACTGAAGACGGGAAATGCTTCTTTCCTCTAAATGCTTTAATTTCCTTAACACTGAGAGTAACGGGAGCTACAGCCTGTACTAGTTTAGTGATATCATTATTTAAATATTTATTAGTTTTAATTTTACTGTTTTTGAATTAATATTTGCTGGGAAACCGTGCTTCTTGCAGTATTTAAATCTATTTATGGCCTGTGTGGGTCCAACTGAATTAGAAGTTTCACAATGAGGACAATGGGGATGGGAGTCAAATTTTAAAACATTCACACGGCTTTTAATGTATGTTGCCATCTCTACTGTCTTCGCTCCATAGGCATTCAAAAAGGGAAGCACATAATTGTGAAAAGAAGAGTTTTTGAATGTTATTTTTTTGTGTGTGTGTTCATTGAAAGAACAGCCAGGATGATATGCAACATCATCTCAATCCTTGTCATGAAAATGTGGATTGCCATATTTCATATCTGTTGATATGGAAATGTGTACATACAGTGTCATATGTTATACATACTGTTACATCTTCGACATGTTGTTTCTGACAACTGGATTGCCGATGTGAAAATGTTTAATTCACTTTATTTTTTTTCCTCCCCAGAGGTTCCTTACATACTGTATATGCCAATATTGTGCCATTTTCACTCACTACGCATGTAATAATTGTACATCCTGTATATCTCATCCTGTTTTATTTTGTCAGTGTTTTGCCTTTTATGGATCTGTCAGTGATCTTCTCTCGTGACTCTTGAGGCTGTAGCCAAATGTGTGAGCTTTAATCCCACAGGGACACACAGAAGCCTTGTGTACATGCCTCCTGTGCATATGTATATATTGTATGTAAACCTGTAAATATCTTTGATATTTGTGGCTGCAAGTGAAATGAACTTCTGTACACTGTACTGTAGTTATTTAAGAAAATGTTGAGATTGAAAAAGATATTGTTAATAAACACTAACAGATAAGTGTACTGTGAATGAGTTGTCAGCATTTTCACTTTTCATTTTACACAGGTATGACACAAGCTTCAGCCAATTTAAACAAGAACAAATATGGAAGAGTTGTTTATGTACACACATGCATCATGTGGATAATTAGCCATAATCCACACAAGAGAGAATGATATTTTAGTAGCTTCTTCTATACCAATAACAATGGCGATTAAATGAGGTGATTCAAGGACAACATTAAAGTAAAATTGAGTTTACAGCAGGTCATTTACACATTGAGCATTATTCATGGTAAACAACTGCCACCTAGTGTCCCAACATTGGTATGACACATTGATAACCAAAAACAAGCTTAAAGTTACTGTTAATGTTACCATGATTCATAATGTTCCTGTTTTATAGCAGATATACCTCATTCCCCCAAAGTAACTAACTGAAATTGACTGAACTTTTTAATTGTTTAAATTTGAGGACATATGAGATATATGATCACATTATCACATCCATGCTGTCAGTTATTTTGGCTGTTTTGATGAATGTAGCAATACTATACCACCAAAACACTGTATTCATGTCAAGTTTTATATTTAAATGTTTAAGCCCCATATTATTGTCACATTGTCATCGCAGTGTATATTATGTATGTCGCGGTGCTTTTTGAGCTTTTACCAGTTTCATTTGATGACCGAGTTCATGTAAACACAGTAAAAGCTTCTTTTAGAAGTCGTGCGCTCTTATTTTGAAGCACGAACACTCAAGCCGGAAGTGTTTACATCCTGTTAGCCTACAGAAAACAGCGTAGCTCCTCAACCTTTGTGGCTGCTTTTCCTCCATGTCTGTCATAACCAAACAGAAACTACAACGACCTGAGCTGGACACGCACACAGTGTAAAAACAAACCTTATCAAACATCTGCTTCATGGACTCGTACAGGCTTTATTGCCTCCGCTAACTCCGGTAGCTTGGCATGGCTGCTAACCCTCCAGCGCCAGGCTTTCAGAACAAGACGCGGGTGGCCATCCTGGCGGAGCTGGACAAGGAGAAGAGGCGGCTGCTGCAGAGCCAGTCCCTGAACAGCCCCGGAGCCAGCGTCCCTCTGTCGTCCAGACCCAGCCTGAAGGAGGCGAGGGACAGCGCGGAGCAGCAGCACATCGCCGCCCAGCAGAAGGCCGCCCTGCAGCACGCCCACGTCCACTCGTCCGGCTTCTTCATCACTCAGGACTCCTCGTTTGGGAACCTCATCCTGCCGGTGCTCCCCCGGCTGGAGCCAGACTTTTGACTGTGAAGCTTGCAGCAGATAGTGTCCGGTGACCCGGCCCGGGTGGACGACTCACATGCGAATGACACATTTGGTTCTGTCTCTTTTTTGCGTTCTGTGTCCTGTAATCGATTTATTGGTGATGTTCGAGTCCAAGAGGTTCACTGACACAATAAAATATGGTATTTGAACGCAGTCAGTGTTTCTATAGTAGCAGGGCTGTAGATAGAGAATCAGGGTCCCCAGAAAGTCCCCATTGAACCAGGGTCCCCACTGTAATGAATGATATATTCTGCTGTAATTATACAGTTATTACCTTTGTCTTAGTACATAGCTGTAGTGCAACCAGAGTGTAATAACACACAGTTCTTATAGTCAAAGCTTTTCTGATGGGGACAAAATGTGATGGGAGGGAAATGATTAGCACCCTGAGAGTTGGATAAATAATAATAAAACATTATTGGAAACTACGCCTCCAGGAGGAAATCAATGTTTGCAAAAGCCTGAGAAATGACCATTGACATACAGCATATTCCCGCCCAAAAGTAATGATGTAATGTAATAATAATGTATTTTCTCTCTATTATCTGCGTGAATGTGGAGGTGACAGGGTGTATGACTGACACTCCGGTGAAGCAGACCATAATAATGCTAGGAAACATTCAGTATAATAATATAATATATAACATTTCACTCCCGTGGTCTATCATTGGCTCTGCGGTCTGCACTCGATTGCTTCCCCCTGCAGCGCAGAGTGAGTCGATAGCAGAGCTGATGCAACACACTGACAGCTCCACCGTACCGGCTCCTCTCACCAAGTCTCAGTGCAACAAGACCGGTTTGAAGGTGAGTCCGTGGGTGGTCCATTATGGCTTTATGCTACACTGATATTACTATCAGATAGGGTGAAAATGTAGCTATTAAAGCGGCTGCAGCTGTTTCCCGCTGCTGTAACGTTAGCTGCACATGGTTCTGTTGCTAGTTAGCTAGCTAGCTAAGTAGCCCTAGCCGGCTGCTTCATTGAGTATCGGGGGTAGCTGGCTGTTATCTCAGTGGACTGTATGGCCTATTCCTGACATATGGAGGAAGCTGGGGATGTCATTATAGAACATAGTTCATGTTAGCCTGTAGCTCCTCGCTGTGTGCTGTATAAGTACTCCACGTAAGGCTAAAGTCAACGTTAACTCAAGTGCTAACTCGTAAAACAAGCCTTATCATTGTTAGAAACTTAACGTTAATTCGGTTTATAGGAAACATAGGAAACGTTTCATTGCGGAATACATTTACATAAAATGTCAAACATTATGTTCGATCCCCTCTGGTTGCTACCGCCCACTGCGGTGCAGTATTAGTCAAAGGACATGGTTGGCAAATATTACCCATATGTAACCCATCATGTTACCTCCTTGTCTGACTAAAGAAACATTAAACTGAAAGGGATTTAACAGATATATGCTCTAGAAAGACAAAACGAACCAAAGCTGCTGACATTAACTCCTAACTGTTCTTTACACTCTTGTTCTTCCCGGTCAGAAGGACCTGCACCATGGCAGATCAGCTGAGTCCTGATGAGAAGTTGGACCTCGTTACCAGGAACCTCCAGGTGGGAGACGCAGACCGATACATACTCACAGTGTCTCAACCCCCCCCCCTGGTTGCTTGGTCTCATGAATGTCTTGTTGAACATGGGTATTGCAGGAGGTCCTTGGAGAGGAGAAGCTGAAGCAGGTTCTCCAGGAGAGAGAGCTGAAGGTGTACTGGGGCACAGCGACCACTGGAAAACCCCACGTAGCTTACTTTGTCCCCATGTCCAAGATAGCGGACTTCCTCAAGGCTGGATGCGAGGTGGGTAGACCTCATGGAGCGTCTGGTCTAATGTTAATGAATTCTGAGACTTCCTGCTCCGCTCGCCAGTGGCTCACACGCATGTTTTTGATTCTTCTCCTCCTCAGGTCACTATTCTGTTTGCAGACTTGCATGCCTACCTAGACAACATGAAGGCCCCCTGGGAGCTGCTGGAGCTCAGGGTGAAGTACTATGAGCAGGTCATCAAGGCCATGTTGGAGAGCATTGGTGTGCCTCTGGATAAACTCAAGTTTGTCAAAGGAACTGACTACCAGCTCAGCAGGTCAGTCGCGCTGACGATAGCCAGAACATGCATTTATTTAACGTCCCCTTCTCTGAAACGGACGCTGTCGTATGTCGCATACTTAAAGTAACGGTGTAGGTCTGTATTATCGTGTTTGTCAGGGAGTACACTCTGGATGTGTACCGTCTGTCCTCCATGGTGACGGAGCATGACGCTAAGAAGGCTGGAGCTGAGGTCGTCAAACAGGTGGAGCATCCGCTGCTGAGTGGCCTGCTGTACCCTGGACTGCAGGTAATAACGCGGTGCTAGAGGGAGTAGTAACTGTCAGACAGACAGGAGCGGTATAAGACAGCAAAATGTCCACATGTTGTATAAATACTCCAAATAAAAGCTGAATGGAATGCACCCTCACACGTTGAACTCTTTGTTTTTCATTTGTTTTAACCATGGAAATGTTTGCTGTTATGATTGGTTGGATTACTAAATGTGTTTTCTCTTTGTCCTCAGGCTCTGGATGAGGAGTACCTCAAGGTGGACGCCCAGTTTGGAGGAGTTGACCAGAGGAAGATTTTCACTCTGGCAGAGAAGGTATCATCTCTCTCTTTTACACTCCTCTACTGACCTCTTACCTCCTCCTGCCTTACCTCAGTTCTTGTGGGACTTGATGATTAGTTTAGGAGCAGATGTGAGTTTGTTGATAGAACATGGCTCATTTTGGACTTATATATAATACAAATAATAAATCTAATTTATTTACTCCAGTTGCATTAAGTTGACACAGTAGACCAAAAAAACAACATATAAAGATCATTATAGAAACAATGAACCATATATGTCTCAGTAGGATGATCCCATGAAAGAGTTCTCGGAATATAAACTGTAACTGTAGCCCTTCATTTATCTCCAGTACCTGCCCTCTCTTGGCTACGCCAAACGTGCCCATCTGATGAACCCGATGGTACCAGGACTGACAGGGGCCAAGATGAGCTCCTCAGAAGAAGTACGTTACAGTAAAAGTTAAGATTTGTATGAACATTTTCTTCTAATGCTTGTGTTCAGTGTTAACATGATCATTCCTGGCTGCAGGAGTCAAAGATCGATCTCCTGGACTCCAAAGAAGATGTAAAGAAGAAGCTGAAGAAGGCTTTCTGTGAGCCAGGCAACATCCAGAACAATGGAGTCCTCTCCTTCGTCAAATATGTCCTCTTCCCTCTACGCGGAGGTAGAACACTTCTCCTTCTGTTGTCTTGACTTCAGGTTTTTCCCGTATAAAGAATATAAAATGAGTTGATGATTGGAATGACTGCGTTTCAGAGTTCTGCATCAAAAGAGACCCCAAGTGGGGTGGAGACAAAATCTACACTGGGTTTGAAGAGGTGGAGAAGGACTTTGCTGAGGAGGTGAAGTATAGACACACAGATTTATTTGAAGAATATAAGCCGGTTATAAAGTATATCTCTGATTGAACTTTGGTCTAACCATCGATGATCTCTGACCTTGTTAGACCATCCACCCAGGAGACCTGAAGGCCTCAGTGGAAACAGCACTAAACCAACTGCTGGAGCCAATCAGGAAGAAGTTTGAGTCTCCAGAGCTCCGCAAACTTACCAACTCTGCCTACCCCAACCCCTCAAAGAGTCAGTATCTTACCCCTCGCCTCACTGCGTCATTTTAATCCCCAAATGATAGAGGTGTGGCTGGTTCTGCATTAAATGCTATCATTTGTGTGTGTGTGTGTGTGTGTGTGTGTGTATAATCAGAAGGAGCAGCAAAGAGTGCCAAGGCAGGAGGAGGAGGAGGAGGAGGAGGAGAGGACGACGAGCTGGCCCCCTCCAGACTGGACATCAGGGTGGGCAAGATCATCAGCGTGGAGAAGGTAGGACGCCAATACCGTGATGGCTGATTTCTTCAGATGGCGTGTGTGGAGATGATCCACCTGTATTACAGCCCTCTGGCTCTGTGTTCACATGGGTTTATCTGCGTTCCACCTCCCAGCATCCAGATGCTGATTCGCTGTACCTGGAGAAGATCGACGTGGGGGAGCCGGAGCCGAGGACGGTAGTCAGTGGGCTCGTGGCCTATGTTTCGCAGGAGGACTTACAGGACAGATTGGTGCTGTTGCTGTGCAATCTGAAACCCCAGAAGATGCGAGGGATTGAGTCTCAAGCCATGCTGCTATGTGCCTCTATGTGAGTGTTATTTAGTACGCTGCAGATCCTTCTGCTTCTTTGTTTTTTAAACATTCCCTGACTCTCTGATTGATGGATTCCTAGTGAAGGGGACCCCAGGAGGGTGGAGCCTCTGGACCCTCCAGAGGGGTCGTCGCCAGGAGAACGGGTCTTTGTCGAGGGATATGAGACAGGCAAGCCAGATGACAAACTCAACCCAAAGAAGAAGGTGTGGGAGAAACTACAGGTATGTTTCAGATTTATCACAACGATTAATAACGTAATCACCAGGAAGTGTGTTTTATCTTAAAAATCCAAACTTTTATGCTTTAGTTGGCGTCATTTTTCTATAATGGAATATATTGGAAGAAAGTTAATCGACTATATGTACATAATATTATTATTCCGTCTTCCCAGGTCGACCTGAAGATATCAGACGAGTGTGCGGCTCAGTGGAAAGACAAACATCTGATGACCAAACTAGGACAGATCACGTGTAAGACACTCAAAGGAGGCAACATCAGTTAGATACACGTCACATCACTTTCACCACTGAAGCTGCTCCTGCCGGCCACATCACAACAAGAATACTCCCATCGCCATGGTAACCACCGGCCATACTTCATCTGGATGTGTTTTTTTGAAGGGTGACGGGACAGCGATGCCAAACGTCTGAGATGCTTGGGACTGGCTTAGACACATTCTGTTACCTTGCTTTGACTTTATTAGAAAAATAAGAGCTTTGTACAACAAAAATGATGTAACTAATCAACCTGTGATTCATTACTGTCTCTTTTTTTTTTTTTACCAGGGGTTTGGTGTTCCTAATGCACTTAAATATACAATTACAATATGAGAGCTTCTGCAAAGGAGACATACTGCTACTCAGATAATGAAATATTACTTTATTATAGCTGATACGGAATCTCAGGTGTTTGAAAAAGGGACTTGATGTTTCAGTAGTTTTCCGGTTTAAAATTTCACTGTTGATTGCCTTCATGGTCAATGTCAAGGCGTAGGCCAATCTGCCAGACCTAATTTAATAAGAATGGTTTTAGATGTATATAAAAATCAATATGTCATGCACTGTAAGGCATGGGACGCTGCATTGGGGGTGGTGTTGTACAGAAATCAATATCTGAACGTTAACTGTCACATAATCAAATAATGCATCATCTCTAATATGAAATAAACGCTGGCTGAATTCTGTGGGCTGCTGAAATGAATTATATTTGTGTTAGATGAGAGAAGCTGTATGTGCCACATCTTTTGAGACAGAAAGCAAGGAACCACATTTTTAATACACTTAAATTTTATTTATAGAAGTAATAACTGTACATAATTTCTTATAGCCATCAAGATGTCGATTTTTGACCCATTACAAAGAGTCAGTACAATTCAATCACTAATGATTTTGCTGGGGGAAAGCATTTTGTGCAAATAGTGATGCGCTGGATTTTCCACCAAAAAAGGCTTGGGCCAAAGTTTTAGACACAGAACATTTAATAAAAACACTGACCTCACACTAAGTCTACTCCAGTGTATCAATCATCCAGGGCCAATCGTCACATCCATAGCCCTAAAAGTGGTTTTCAGATGAAACGGATTCTTAAATATTTCAGATTTAGTAGGAAAAGGTGACCGACAGTGCTACTAGTGGAAACAACCACACATAAATAAATAGGATACTTGTGTTACTGTTTTGTTACTGTTGGGCTGACCCTTACTGAACCCAAGAGCATTGTGTAGAAGCATTGACAGTTCAGCTGTTGCTGTAATTAGATGCTTTTCTGTGTTTTAATGTAAATGTTTATTATCTGTAGCTTTACAAAAGTGCTTCTGTCCTAAATGACAAAATATCTTCCTACCATTCTTGTGAGTATGCAGCTTCCCTTTTACTCAAACACTATTCCTGATATATCCATCCACACAGTGAAAAGCAGGACTGAAACGAAGCGTGACAATTAGTTATTACTCAGATCTTGAAGCAAAGAAAGCGATAAAATGCTGATTTGTCTTGTAATGGATGCTATTGTTGACCTTTTATGACAATTGCTTAAATCCCCATGAAAATAGTGTATTATATTACAACAGAGAAAAAAGACAGACAGTAAACCTCTGTACAGAAATGCTTTGTCAAGATAAATCCTTTCCTTTGAGCTGCAGTGACCTCTACCTAATTCTACCTCTGGGAGGCGATCTCACACAAGCTGTATATTTACAGTTCAGTCAATGTACACCATTTCATCCTGAGGGGCCTTAATAAGAGATAAAATATAGCTTAGAAAAATACTCCGGAATAAAGCTATCATAAGAAATTGGGAGCGCCACATTTTTTTTGCATAAATATGTAGGAAGGCCATTACAGGCTAAGGCTTTTGGAGAAGATTTAACACACACAACACATTGATAGTTGAGTTATATGTCTCTCAGTCATATCAGTCCTTGCTGTGAGTTGTCCTTTTGCTTGCTTGTAGTCTTTGCTTGTTCCTGTGGCGTGGTCCTCAGTCAATCACCACAGCGCTCTCTCAAAACAGTGTTTCAATTGTGTCCGCTGTCACTCTTGTGGCTGCAGGGGGAAGATGAGAGGAGGTTAGACATTATGGCATCAACATAATACAGTTACAGGAACACATAATGACTATTCCGTCCTAATCTAATGTAGTTTCTGAGACACGATCACGAGCTTCAGGTTAAGGCCGACCAAAGCACATGCTTGCACATTTTATTGGGAAAAGCTGTAGGCTGGCCAGCAACGTTTGTGTTGTGTTTGTATGGTAGGGGGCTTGGGTGTGCAGTTTTCTGTTGTTGGTATGGAGAGCAAAAAATATGTTCTTTAAGGCAATGTTAAACAGCTTAGCTGTTAAAGATGGAAATGCTAGAATTTGCATTTTGCTTTTTTCATGACAAGAGAGTGGTAGTTAGATATTGATTAGTGCTGGCACTGAATCAGCTAATGAGTTTACACACTCAGCAGCAGGAAACACATTAATGAAGGCAGAGGCTGTCCTTCATGACCAGTGGTGGACAAAATACTCATATCTTAAGTAAAGCAGAGTGGCCCATTGCAGAATAATGTACATTATATTTTTGGATTATATGTAATGATGCATTAAAGGCATAATGACAAATTTGTTTATTATATACTATTATTAATCTGAATCCGAAAAATAACTGGTAACTAAAGTGAGTTAATTGATTAAATGTACTTAATTACATTCCACCACTGTTTGCACACATGACTTTCCCAATGATAATGACAGAAAATCATCTTACTTGTTGTCTCAGGAGGTGTTATTCCACTCATATGTTCTCCTCCTATTGTTCCGTTTCCTTCAGCACTACAGTCCATCTTGGCTGAACAAGCAGGACGAATCGGTGAAGGACTGATGCTCCCGGGGGCTGGTTTCTTAGCTACTGGTGGAGGAACTTTGTCAGACTTCACCCCACCATTGGAGAAAGCAGCGGCCTTTGATTGGTCAGACACCTGCATGAGCTCGGCCGCCAAGCTTTGCTTCAGACTCGCCTGAGCTTCAGGGGAAGAGGCGGCTGCAGTCTCTATGACAACCTTTTTTGTGCTCCTGGAAAAGATGAAGCTGGCAGTAGATGCTGGGGACTTGTGCATGTCACATCCTTCAGGTGATTTCAGGGACAGAGCCCCCTGTTCACTGACAGAGCTGTAAGGGGAGGATCTCACACCCAGTCGGGATGGAAGACCATCTCTTGAAGACATGGCTGCAGTTTTCATACGTATTGCTTCCTGTAAGCGCATAGAAGGGGTGTTGAGTGTCACAGAGGATGTTTTTACCATCTGAGGGGGAGATTTTAGTGACAGAGACTTGCGGATGGGCTTCTGTGGAGTGTTTTGAGATCCTGGGTTTGATACTGGGTAATTCTCCTGAACTGGAGTTCCCTGGTTTGTTGACTTGTCCTCCGATGGAGCTTTCACCTGATCTTCAGTCATGTTGACTGATCTAAGACGAACCATCTGAAGCAGTGATGGGGTGACAAGAGGTATGTTAGCATCTTCTTTGGGAATGGGTGCACTTTTGTGGCGGGAAAGGAGCTCCTTGCTTCTGGCATCTCGATTTGCTAAACTGGGCTGCCTTCGGAAATTAACCCCATGGGTTAAATTGTCTGCTGGTAAAGGGGGTGCAACTGGGACAGTAATGGGAGGTTGGGCACAGACGAGAGGCTCGTTGGGAGACCGATATTCAATTTTCATAGAGTCTCGCTTCAGGAAGCTGCTGGGAGGAACTAAAGCAGAGACTGATACTGGGTTTTCTGCTGTTGTAATATGTGGCAAAGGAGGCGCCTCCACTGTTGGAGGAAGGACAAGCTCCACTGGTCTGCAGGAAATCTCATCACTGGTGTTAGCTTTTGAAACTTGCACAACAAACTCGGGCTTGGTGTCAGTTGCCGTTTGTGGAACAGTAGGGGGCAAATCTGGAATTTGTCCATGTACAGAAGTCCGGGCTTCACTTGAATCCTCAACTGTCTCTCCATCTTCCTCTGTGGGTCTTTTTGAGACATTCAGCTCCTCTGTGATACAACTGTCCGTTACATTTGGCACACTGTCTGCCTCAAAGGGTGGAGGAGGTGGTGGAAAGTCAACCTCATCTCCTCCATCAAAGACGGAGTCCCCTTCCATAGGAGGCGGAGGAGGTGGCCAGCAAGTCTCTACAACATTAATCTCCTCCTGTACCTGCTGTAGTTCATCTGGTGGCATAGATACTGATGATGGAGGTGTCTTTCTTGACAGAGGAGGTGTAGGCTGGTATGTTGGAGGAGGGGTAGGTGGTGGTGAGGCCTTGTTAATTTTGGGGACCTCTGTGGAAAGTGTCTGTGTGGATGTGACCTCACTTTTGTCCATCTCATTCTCACTTCTATCAACTAAAACTATAACTCCATTCTGTGAGGAGGTTGTATGGTTCTCAACTGGTAAAATAATTTCTGTCATGGCACCGCTCATTTTCTTTTGTTGTCCATCCAATGAGTGCTCTGTTGACACAGGTTCCTCTCTGTGCAGTACTATCATGGGTTTCTTCTTGACAGGAGGGGGATCTTTCTTTGGAGATGTCTCTTGACTCTCGGGGTTCTTCACTACAGGGCTACTACTCTGCTCTTGTTTCGGAATGTCTGCACTTGCTTGCTTCCTCTCTTGTTCGGTACTTTCGGTACATTCCCTATTCTCCAACTCTTTGTGAACACCTTCAGTACCTTCTGCTAACAATGTCTCAGGCTTTGCTTTCTTTTCTGACAATTTTAAGACAGGCTTGTCTATAGTTGATTGTTTTTCAACTAAAACTTGCACCTCCTCGCTGGCTTCAGTCTGAGTTCCTGCTTGTTTAAATGTGCTGTCTTGTATCAGTGCTGGTTTCTGGGTTACTTTGCTGACATTAGGGCAAGGCCCACACAGGAGCTCAAAGGAGCGTCTGTTGTGAACCCATGTCTCTGGCGGAGGAGGACATGGGGCTTTGACTTTGGGAGGTGGTGGGATGTTCAACAGTTCTCTGACTTCAACGCTCAAAGCTGAAGAATTGTTATTTGGAGTGAGTTCTTTTGCAGCAACAGTGGGTGGAAACCCCTGTGGGGGCAGACTGGGGCTACATCTGGAAACATCTGGATTGACAGGCTCAGATGTACTGGATGACAGAGAGGTAAGAGAGGAGGAAGGAGACGCTGCTGAGGAAGAGGCCCGGGACACTGATCTCTCTGGTTTGATCGGTTTCTTCTTCTGTTTGTCAGGGGAGTTTGGGGAGATCCCTTTTGGGGAAAGTGTCGGAGTGCCACTCTGACTGGAGTAGCCACTGGAAGGGGACATGGTCCGTTCAAATTTACCCCCTTCTGAGGGAGTTTTCTGTGGGGAGGAGCTACTGGACTCTGGCTGAGGCTCTGTTGCTCCTCCTGCCTCATTGGCAGAGACCTGTGTGGGGCTCAAAGGACTGGAGGAAGCATCTTGAGAGCTGGATCCAGTGGAGTTCAATACAGGGGTGGGGATCTTACTGGTATCTGTAGTAACTGATTTTATCTCATCCTTTGCTACAATATTTTCTGTGACATTTGCCACCAGTCTAGACACAGAGTCATTGAGATCTTTACTTTCCACCAGAACTCTGCCGTTGCTCCTGATCTTATTACTATGCAGAGAGTTCGTTCTCCGTGGAGGTGCAGGGGGTTGCTTGGTCTTCATAACTGATAGACTACGA